CTAAACAGTTCCCTTCCTGGTACTGTCTTGGTTTCTATTTTATCTTCTGTAATAATTATTTTAATCCCAAAGCAAAGCATTATGGGATTTGTGGACTGTTCTGGTCAGCTTTTTCTCCTGGCTTAGTGGTGCTCATGCAAATCTCTCGTGTGTCTGTTTGTGTGTTTGTGTGCGCGCGCGTTGGCCTGTGAAAGCACATATGAAATTTCTAGATAGTGAAGCAATAGTTCCCAAGTGTGTCTGACTAGCTGATACTGCTAAGTCTGGGTTGGTGTCCTCATCAACGAACTTGAGTTTTTATTTATTTTTTCTGCGCAGTTCTCCCTCACCTCAGCAGATTTTGTAAGAATGTTTGTATGTAGGTTGTGAGTCAATAACGTTTATTTATTGACAGGAAATCTTACTGAACTGGCAGTGCCATACTTGTTCTTACGCACTTCCACAACTTTTTATATAGATTTTTCAGTCAGACTGGGATAAGGTTAGTGTGTCCTTTTTCCAGCTTTGTGTGGACATTGGGCAACAATATATGAAAGGCTTTTAAAATGTGGTGGCTAGTTCTCCTGTCAGCTCTTATTAACTCTTAGCTGTATTAGAGGCAGTAATGAAGAGATGATTGTGTGATTTACAGAATTGTTTGGGGCACTCAAGGAGTCCCTTTTATTGACAAAATTAATGAGATGTTTGCTCCTGTTTGTATATGACTGGAGTGCAATTCTTTTTAAAACAGGTAGTCCTTGACTGACAACTGTTTGTTTAGTAACCATTCAAAGTTACAACAGCACTGAAAAAAATGATTTATGACCATTTTTCACACTTATGATCATTTTCACACGACCATTGAAGCATCCCCATAGTCACGGGATCAAAATTCAGATGCTTAGCAACTGGTTCATATTTATGGCGGTTGCAGTGTCCCAAGGTCATGTGATCCTCTTTTGTGATCTTCAGAGAAAGTAAAGTCAATGGGGAAGCCAGGTTCGCTTAACAACCATGTTACTAACTTAACAACTGCAGTGATTCACTTGATAACTGTAGCAAGAGTGGTCGTAAATTGGGGCAAAATTCACTTAACAAATGTCTCACTTAACATAAATTTTGGGCTCAATTGTGGTTGAAAGTTGAGGACTATCTGTATATTATTTTTTTTGCTTTTAAAATAATAACAAGCAAAAACCAAAACACCAAAATACCAAAATATATACATTGTCAAAAAATATACAAGTGCTGAAAAAATAAAGCAAAAACAAGATACAGAGAACAATGTGTTGCTGGAACAGTAGTTACAATTCTATATACAATTATTGAATATAAACATTCAAGTGTGTATGTTTTTATTGTATTTATATGACTATCATACTTATAAATGAATCCCATATTTCCTTAAATGATTTTATTCATACATTTATCTTTCTAATGTTGCAATATCAGCTTCTTACTTATAATAAGGGCCTGGAGAATCAGTTTAAGTTGTCCAATTGTCAAGTTCCATATACTAGGCATGTAATTCAATAAAATACTATCCTCTAAAAGTTTTAGGGTTTCTTGCATGGTCACATTAACAACAACAACAACAACAACAACAATAATAGAGTTACAAGGGACCTTGGAGGTCTTCTAGACCAACCCCCTGTTGTCTGTCCAGTCTCTTAAATAAAACTCCCAGTGTTGGAGCATTCACAACTTCTGGAGGCAGGTTGTTCCACTGATTAATTGTTCTGTCAGGAAATTTAAATTTATTTTCCCTACAATGTTCAAAGCATTCTTACTGGTTAAAATTATCCCAAGGTTAATTACCTTAAAATATTTAAATCTATTTTTATGTCTTAAAAAGTAAGTAAAAAAAGACACAAAAGAAAAAAGAAAAGATGAGAGAGAGAAAAAGAATAAAATAGGTTGCTTCTCTCTTTTATTAGTTTCCATCCATTGCTTCTTGTCCTGCCCTCCAGGTGCTTTGGAGAATAGCTTGACTCCCTCTTCTTTGTGGCAGCCCCTGAGATACTGGAACACATCATGTCAATCCTAGTCCTTCTTTTCATTAAACTAGACATAACCGATTCCAGCAATATAGTCTATTACTTTCTCACAAAAGTAGTAATAATAATTAATGCTCTTTTTCCTTTTGAAAATGCTGATAAGGGTTATTTGAAATAAAAATCCTTCCATGTGAAAATGTAGCTAGGCAAAACTGATTTTTCCTTGTTGCCCTCAGAAATGATACTAGTGTGCTGAAGCAGTTAAGGTAATGTTTTTCAAACTTAAACTTGAAGCTATGTGGACTTCAACTCCCAGAAGTCTGGCTGGGGAATTCTGGCAGCTGAAGTCCACACATCATCTTGGCCAATGTTGCCAAACACTGCAATAGAGACGACCTTGAGGTCTTGTGTGGCAGGATACAAATCTACCAATTGAATAAATTAATTCAACTGTATTAATTGAAGTATTCCTGAAGTCCCTCAAGACTTGGCATGTCATCAAGTTTGGGAGCTTCAGCGGACCGGTAAGATCTTTTGGTGGCTCCATTGCAGGCAGTCTTTAACTTACAACAGTTTGTTTAGTGACAGTTTGAAGTTACGTCACTGAAAAAAAGTGATTTATGACCATTTTTCACACTTTACCACCGTTGCAGCATCCCCATGGTCACATGATCTCAAAATTCGGAAGCTTGGCAACTGACTCATATTTATAACGGTTGCAGCGTCCCAAGATCATGTGATCCCTTTTGCAACCTTGTGAAAAGCAAAGTTAATGGGGAAGCCAGATTCATTTAACAACCATTTTAGTGACTTAATAACTGCAACGATTCACTTAACAACTGGGGCAAAACTCATTTAACAAATGTCTCACTTAGCAACAGAAATGTTGGCTCAGTCGTCGTAAGTCGAGGAGTACCTGTACAGGGTTAACATTTACTACTCTCTTTTATGCCTTAGGGCAGAGGTCTTCAAACTTGGCACGCTGGCTGAGGAATTCTGGGAGTTGAAGTTCACAACTTCATAAAAGGGCCAAGTTTGAAGACCCCTGTCTTGGGGGGTGGGGGTGCATTCTAATAATGACTTCTTACATGTTAATTGTTTTTATGCCACCCAGAGTCACTTTTTCTGATGAGCAGCCATATAAATTTGATACATTCATAAATAAATATAAACATGTAAAGAAAACAAGTTGGAGAGAGACTCTACCAGCTGCTTCTGTGGAATGTGTAGGTGGGGTGCCCTTCCCTCTTCTGGGGTTTTCCACTTAAATTCTCAGTCGGAATTCCAAGGGTTGCAATCCCAGCACATCTGAAAAGTGCCAAGTTGGGAAAAGCTGGGTTTTGGGTGTAGCAAACGCCAGTTGCCTTCCCCAAGTGAATTACCTGATGTTTGATAGTGGCCTTGGAAACGCCTGGGAGATTTCCTTGAAGCTTATCTATTCTAAATAAACCTTCTCCTCATTTTGGGATGGTTCTGGGAAGCTGGCAGGAAGGTGTTCCAGCTTGTTAGACATGCCTGTGGCTGGTTCTGCCCTATAGCTTCGTCGTCTTCCTAGTGACCACCTTTCGGGAATGGCCCTTTCTCATTATATTTCTTTCTTTCTCTGACATGTTTGAACCTAGTTTGTATGTCAAGGTTCCCATCTAAGAAACACCAATCCAATCTCCCAACATGTTACTAGTCCACAAGAATGTCCTTTTATAATATTGTATCTTAATTGAAGTTTTTAAACTGCCCAGTAGCTCAAACTCTGTTGATCATGTATGACTAAGTATGCTAAAAATACAATCTGAATAAAAGCATGTGCCGTAAAATAAAAAAAATGTGAAATAAAAGCACTGTACAGATAGTCCTCGACTTAACAACCATTTGTTTGGTCACCATTACTAATGGTTGCAATGGCACTGAAAAAAAAGTGACTTATGTCCATTTTTCAGAGTTACAACTGTAGCAGCCTCTCCACAGTCATGTGATCAAAATCAAGGCCCTTGGCCACTGGCCTCTATTTATGACATTTGTTCCCAGGGTCATCTGAGTACCATTGGTAACCTTCCCAGCTGGCTTCTGACAAGCAAAATCAGTGGGGGAAAGTCAGAGCCACGATCTCATGACTCATTTAACAATTGCAGTGATTTGCTTAACAACTGTGGTAGTAAAATGGGATACAACTCAGTTAACAACTCCCTTGCTTAGCAGTGGAAATTTTGGGCCCCCTTGTGATCGTAAGTCAAGGACTACCTGTATAAACTAGTCCAGCAGCACATCAGTCGTAGAAAAATTGATTAAAATACTACTGAAAGCCAATTAAAAAGCCTGGGAAAATAGGAAAAGTCTTCACTTGTCACCAAACTGATGCTCACTGGTTTATCGATTGAGCCTCCCTGGGGTAAATGGGGTCCCACCATGGAACAGGCTCTCCCCCCTTTGCAGAGTCCCACTAGAGAGGCCTCCACTAGGTGACATTAAGATCATAAACCGAAAAATATGCAAAATGGTTTACAGGAAAAATGAAAGTATTCTCTTTCTCCTGCAGTGAAATGATTTAAATATGCATGATACCCACTTGGCCTATGCATGCTTGTTAGAAGAAATATATATATATATATGTATGTATGTTAAAAGCTGTACAACGACACTGGAACACCAGGAAGAGTTAAAACCAAAAAAGTTTTAATAAATATTTATTAAATATATATATATTTAGTGGGGTAGGGTTTCTTAAATACACAAGGATCTGCTGCAGGTCTTTATTATGTGTTCATAACATGCACTGTTAAGAGTCAAGTTCAGTAAGCCAGAATTGTCAAGAGAGCATCCTTGACAGCGTTGAAAAACCATAACTGGGACTGACAGCAGTTACGTTTGCCTTTTCCCAGCAACTGGATTTGGTTGTGATCCAACTGGTTTTAGAAAGAAAATCCTGTAGGGAGATTCTGTCTGCTCTTCTAACGCTATTTCAACTGATTTTTTTTTAAAAAAACTTTTATATCACCTTTTTCTTTTCTTTTCTTTCCATTTCACCAGGGCCAGAATCCTTTCGACCTGGAATTCTCTCAGTCCACTCACCTGGAATCTGTCTTCAATTTTGAATGTCCCTCTCGGCCCGGTGAGCTCCGTTTGCCTTTGAAAAACCAGTGGGAGGGACAGGGTGAAGCAGAGATGGGCAGTTAATTTTTCCAGGGGACCATGTGAGAAACTGGGGACTGTTGTGCAGGGCTGAACCAGTTGGGCTGTGAAGGTGTGTAGGCATGCAGATGCAAACATAAGTAAATTGGGGGGGGGAATAGCAGTCGTCTTGAAAATAAAAGCAACTCGTGTAGAGTTGGATAGGGACAGCCAAAGGGCCAAATGTGGCCTTGGCAGCTGTATAATGCCAGGCCTGGGATGAAGGCTAGTTAGGAATGAATGTATGCATTTATCAAATTCGTAAGGCCACCCAAAGGACTGGGGTCTCCTTCCTGTTTTTTGCATTCCAAAGTGAGTCTGTTTTAATCCTTTGAGGAGAAATTGGATCATTGTGTATTTTCACAGCTAGCATGTTGCTTCTGAGCCCTGGGAAATGGGTTGAAATCCGGCTACAGGAACAGTTTGTTTAGTGACCTTTCGAAATTGCAACGGCACTGAAAAAAAGTGACTTCTGACTGTTTCTCACACTTCCAACTGTTGCAATATCCCCATGGCCGGCTGATCAAAGTTCAGAGGCTTGGCAACTGGCTCCTATTTAGGACAGTTGCAGTGTCCCGTGATCCCCTTTTGTGACCTTCTGGGAAGCAAAATCAATGGGGAAGCCAGATTCACTTAACAACTGTGTTATTAACTGAACACCTGCAGTGATTCCCTTAACAACTGCGGCAAGAAAGGGTATAAAATGGGGGGGGGAGAGTTCATTTAACAACTGCCTCTCAGCAACAAAAAGGCTGGGCTCAATTGTGGTCGTTAAGTCGAGGACTACCTGTATTGGGAATTGGCGTGTGGGGTCATACGGCCATCTAATCTGATTCAGATGGACTTCCCTTTGGCTCAGTGGTGAATGCTGATGAAACCTGACATCTATAAGCTTTGGACATGTGGTTGAATTAAGATCTTTACAAAGGATGCTAAGGCTGCACTTGAGGGGGGGGGCTCTTCCCCTTTTCTGCAATTGGTGAGAAATGCTAGCCTGAGAAAGAAGCTCCTCCCCATGTCCTAGTTTATGGGCAAAATGTAAGCTTGTCTTCAAGATCTGGCTTGCCTATAATTGTGGTGTGTTAATTGCTTCTAAGTTTGAATGTTATTATAATGCTTCTATCTTTTCATCTTCCTTTAAAAACGCAATATTTGTTGACAGACATGCCTTCGAGTCAGCCCATCGACATCCCCAATGCCAAGAAAAGAAACAAGAAGAAAAAACGCTGCAGAGCCACGGACAGTTTTTCAGGGAGGTTTGAAGGTGAGGTGAACATAGCCAACTCACTAGTCCACATTGTTCAGTCTCCAGGCGTGGGAAAAAGTCAGGTGGCTCTGAACCTCTTCTTGTAAAAATATTTTATTTTAAGCTTCAGTGTCGGCTCACAGATCTATGAGGGTATTGTCTCGATTCCTGTAGTAGAAGAGGAAGTTCGCAAGTGTATTTATATACTAATTTCCAAAACGGTTCACAAACTAAAACAAACGGGCGGTTTTCTGAAGAATCCAAAAAGAAACTAAAAGAAGGAACTGACAACTGGCAAAATGATGAAATCTATTCATGGGCCAGAAAAGAAACTAGGTTAATTTAAAATTCAACCCAAAGAACTGAAAAGAACAATAACAAGGACTTGTTAACCTGTTTTCAGTAAGCTAACTGGGAAAATCCTTATGGATCTTCTCTCCTTTTCACTGGATTTTTCATATACCAAGGCCAGCGAGCTTGTTTGCAGACAAGATAGTGTTTCTGATTTCCATATCTGGTTATATAAATACCCATTAAGCTGCTCCCTTTTGGAGAAAACAAGATAATGCAAAGTACAAAACAGAAGAAGAAATAGTAAAGAAATTAAAAGCGGGGAATTTAAAAAAAGGAAACATAAGTAAAAATTAGCGTACCCCAAGATCACCCTACTAGATCCATCCAGCCACAATTTCCTCCATTTTTCTCTTTCTTTCAGCCCATTCAGTCTTTCGTTTTGTATTTGTTTCTGCAATTGAGTTCTCATTTGTTATCTCTGTGATGTCAGTTGTGCTTTCCAGTGATCACTCCCTTTTGTATTCAATTAATTTGGAACTTACTCATCCTTGACCCTTTCTCGGCTGTGTTTCAGTACACACCCATGACAACCCATTCTCACTACATTCGGCTTATTTTCGTGCTTCTCCTGACGTACCCTACTTCCATGTGACAGAGTGAACTGAGCCACGCTGTATTTGGCCCTTTTCACTTGGCTTGACCAATATATATATATATATATGTTTACATATGTTCCTTGCCACAAGCTACAAACTGCCCACAACGTTTCTAATAGCGTTTGAATGCATAAATTTCAACCACATTCCCATATTTAGTAAACGTTGGACCAGGGAGCCCAGATTCATCGGCTTGAGTTAGCTGGTGGTGATTGTGAGTAGTGAGTATATAATTTCATTTGCCCTATCAGACCCAACTTATCGATATGTTGATACATCGATCTTCAGATTCTTTGTTGCTTGTTGCATCATGGAAGGGTAACATTTTCAGCAATATTCTCAGACAACAACATAATATCCCCATTTAGTCAACATCTAAGACTACCACAAGTACTTGTACATTAAACAAATAAAGGGACATGACACACCTTTGTCTTAGTCTTTCTTTGAAGTTGAGTCATTTGCTAAGTGTCCTGCTGATCGTCATAGTTTATTTCCATCTTATACTACCTTCAGCAGCTAACCTTCATATTTGCACAAAACACTCCATAGTTCAACCCTATTCACTTCATCATATGTGGTTTCTGAATCACCAAACGTGCAATACGGTTAGTCCTTGTTTAGCAACCATAGTCGGGACCACCATCTTGGATGTTAAGCCAAGCAGTCACTAAGTGAAATCACAACTGTGCTTAATTATTTCAGCTTTCCTTTGCTTATAGACCTGCAGAGGTCGTAAATGCAAAGATTGGCCGTAAAGTTATTTTTTTTCATTATGGTTGTAACTGTGAAAGGTTGCTAAACAAAGACTACTTGTAAACTCTTTATTTTTATATTTGTATATTTTTTAGCTTTGGTATATTTTGGTTAGCTTGCTGTAGATACAACTGTCGTTTAGTTTTACCCCAAGCATGTATACACTAGTCTATGCCGGGGTCTCTAAAATAGACACACAACAAGGTGGTGTACTGTTGCCCTCAACTCATCAACTAGAAAGTGATCTGAAAAGAGTTAGCCTGAGGTTTCTTTGTTAGGTTTGGTTATCTTCAGTTTACACTGTTCTTTAATTTTGCACCAAAACACACTCAAACAACATGCTATACAAGCCACGGACAGAGATGTCTGTAGCTTTCCTGTTCACAGGAAGAAGGAGTAAATGTCATTGGCTTGTGCCATCCTTGTTTATACAGTCAGATCCCACCTGGAGAATTGTTTCCAGTGATAAACCTGAAGCAGGTTCATAAATGAGCAAGCTGGATGAGCGAGACACATGTCCTAAGACAAGATAAGGAAGGAATCGAAAATATTAGGCCTTAAAAAGAGAAGATTGAGGAATATGGTAGCATACTTTGAAAGGAGATACAGATGTTCTTTGCCATGCAGAAGGTGGAAGACAGAATTATGGGTTAACTTATTAGGATGAGGTGATTTTGGTTAAGTGTAAGAAAGCTTCCCATCATAGTTGTTAAAGTAACCTCAGAGTAGAACCATGTACTTCCCTGGGGGTTGGATTTGTTGACTGTGATCTGATTAGATCGATGTTATTTAGCAATTAAGTAGAGTGAAGCTACATTCGTTGAAACAAAACTAGAAACTGGAGAACTTAGATGTGGGTGAATTCTGGAATGGTTACCTTTGCATTTTTGATCTTTTGTGGGTTTCCCCCCAGATCAGTGGGGGTGCTGTCTGAACACTCTGTTGAAGTCTGATTTTGGGATATGCTTTCTCTCCCTGCCCTTTCTGCCACCACGTTCAGATGTTTACCAGCTCCAAGAAGAGATCCTCGGAGAAGGGGCACATGCAAAAGTCCAGGCCTGTGTTAACCTCATTACTAATAAGGAGTACGCAGTGAAGGTATGAATCCTTGGTCATAGTGGCTTCTCTGAGGAAAGGGAATTCTGGGAAATAATAAGGCCTGTTGTTTCCCAAACACTGAAGCCAAAAGAGTTGAGCTGAAATGTATACATGGGTGGGAATATCTGAATTTTGGTCTTCTGCAATAATAGAATCCTGGTGCATTATAGTCAGCAGCCATGTTTTTGAGAAATGCTTTGTAGTTCTTGGGCATTGGAGAAAGTGACTTGAGAACTGGGTAACACCGAGATTCCTGTTTGGTCTCAGTGGTTCCGCTCTTTACAGCCTATCCCCTCTAATCTACCCCAAACTATTTGAGGAAAATGCTGAAGTGCTACAAAACCTGTGGCAGGCTTTGCAAAAAAGTTCATTTTGATTGAAGAGTGGAGCCAGGATTCGTAACTAGCTTCCAAGCACTAGGCAATTTGCTTTGATCTTGGTATACTTGGGTTCTTAACCTTAATCTAGCTTTGTAAATAAAACTCCAGTTCCAGTTTGCCTAAGTCTGTGTCACGTCTACCGCTTGTTTGGAGGCTTTGGCTGATGCAAGCAAAAATGTACACAAAGTCTTTAATCATATAGTTGGACTTGGGAGGCAGTTGGTTTTGATCTGTCTGTGTCATGTTAATCTTTCCTACCTTACAGGATGGTTGAGAACATTTCAGAGACATCAGGGGGGTGAAGAAGGTTTTAATAAAGATAGTAATTCTCTGAAATGGTAGATGAACTGTTCTGCTACCTAGAGCAGGGGTAGGCAAACTTGGCTCTTTTATGACTCGTGGACTTCAACTCCCAGAATTCCTGAGCCAGCCATGCTGAGGGGAAAGGGAGAGGTTTCCAAGCTGAGTCATGCTGGCTCAGGAATTCTGGGAGTTGAAGTCCACGAGTCATAAAAGAGCCAAGGTTGCCTACCCCTGACCTAGAGGCTTCCTTCTTCAAACCCTGATTGTGTTATTTAAAATATAGTTCTCAACGTAAAACCACAATTGAGCCCAAACTTTCTGTTGCTAAGTGAGGCATTTGTTAAGGGAATTGCCCCATTTTACGATCTTTTTTTGCCACAGTTGTTAAGTGAATCACTGCAGTTGCTAAGTTAGTGACATGGTTGTTAAGTGGATCCAGCTTTGCCATTGACTTTGCTTGCCAGAAGGTTGCAAAAGGTGATCAGATGTATGGACACCCTAAACGTCATAAATATGAATCGGTTGCCGAGCATCCAAATTTTGATAACATCACCATGGGGATGCTACAACGGTCATAAATGTGAAAAATAGTCATAAGTCCCTTTTTTCAGTGACGTAACTTTGAACAGTCACTAAATGAACTGTTGTAAGTTGAGGACAACCTGAACTTGATGCCAGTTGCAATGACCAGAAATGATGTGATTGAAGCAGCTGTTGGGGTAATAATAATAATAATAATAATAATAATAATTAATAATAATAATAATAATAATAATAATAATAATAATAATAATAATAATAATAAAAAGTTGGAAGGGACCTTGGAGGTCATCTAGTCCAACCCCCTGCTCAGGCAGGAAACTCTATACCATTTCGGACAAATGGCTGTCCAGTCTCTAAATCCTGTAATGCACTCTTTCTCTCTTTTTAATATGCATGTGCTAGAAGCAGTGATATAATATATTAAATGTTTAGATCAGGGGTCTTCAAACTTGGCCCTTTTATGACTTGTGGACTTCAACTCCCAGAATTCCTCAGCCAGGCATGCTGGCTGAGGAATTCTGGGAGTTGAAGTCCACAAGTCATAAAAGGGCCAAGTTTGAAGACCCCTGGCTTAGCTAAACGTTGAAAAAGGATCTCTGCAAGTAGAAAGTTAGTTTGGTTCATTCTCTGGAACGCTAGCTACTTACTTCCAAAAAGATAATAGCCTTTTTTTTAAAAAAAAATGTGTAGAGTTAGTAGAGTTTCTTTTTAATAATTACCACCATCTTTTGGAAAGGGTCTATGACAATTCACCACAACTTACTCGCCGCGGGACAAGAGTTACACCAATATCAAAGAGATGGTGGAGTAGAAGCAGTAAAGAAAAAAAATGCAAAAAGAAGGACAAAATGAAATGTGAATGACAAAAATTAAAATAGTTTTTTTTTTTATTTATGTTAAATAATTAAAATTGAATTTTTAAATTATCCCACAGCAAGATGTCTCGCTGTAAGTTGGCTGTGGTTAGTTGTCACACTGTGAGTTGGCTGTGGTGAGCTGGAAATGTGGCTAATTGGCATTGCCAAGGCATCAGGATATTTCTTGATCTGGAAAATAAGGATTGATTATTCCTTCCAGAGTATATTTATTATTTATATTTATTGAAGCTGTTCAAGCATTAGGCAGATGCAAATACAGTTTGTATGCAAGAGAGGTCTACTCTACATATCAGCTGATTAGCTGATTCCTCTAATAATAACAACACACCAGCCACATAACTGCATGATTAATAAGAATGAAACAGCTCTTCTGTTCCTAGCTTCTTTTGAAAGGCATGCTGCTGCCTAAAATAAACAGGACGTCTGTCTTCTCAGTCTTGAGAAGAATGATTAAGATTCTCTAGTTAGTCCCTTCCTTTCCTCTGCCTCTGCCTCTCCATTTTTATTTTTATTTTTTAAAACCTGCTTGGGAAAACTGCCCCGTGACTCTCCTGCCTAAGATATTAACATAAAACCAAGCCTGCTTTTGAATTCTTAAATGAATAGCTGTATTTAGTCAATTACAAGTGGGAGCAAGCAGGATGTCACGGTTGGTGCCAGACTAACAAAGAGATGATGGCAGAAACTTTTGTGATCTAAAACTGGCAATGTATTTAAATTCATAATAATTTATGTCCTATTCTATTCTATTCTATTCTATTCTATTCTATTCTATTCTATTCTATTCTATTCTATTCTATTCTATTCCTATTCCTTTCGCCTCAGAATGAGATGGGTGACAAATAAATTTAATAAAATAAATACTCTACATTTGTTGAACCTCACCCCCCCCCCCCCGTCTCCAAGCTAGCATCTTCCAGGAGAGCTTAAACTACAATTCCTGGCCTGTATGGCAAGGGATGGTTCCAAGAAATGAATGTGTGAACATTGGGGGTGGGGGGGGGAGAAGCTTTTTAAGTATTAATTTATCAAACCCATATGACAAAGACAGATTCCCAGTGGAAGCAGTTCCCAGAAAGGCAGTGAGCTACCCTGTGGTGGCCGGGTCTAGCCATCTGTTTGGGGTACTATTGTTCTTTTTCTGAGCAGAGAATTGAATGCTACAGGACTTCTTCCACACATAGGACCCCACGATTTATGTCCTTGGTTCAAGATGCTTACAGCTCAATTCAGCCTAGATTTCCTCCGTTAATTTATGGCGGACTTAATCTCTTTAAATCAGTTGTTTGGTAAATAGACAACTTGATAAAAAAAAAAAAATTAACAAAGCAGGCAAACCCCCTCCCCCCGTAATTCCCCTGCAGCAGCTCTCTGCCAAAAGGCCTAAAATTTAGTTTTCTGTTTAAAATTTCACTGAAAGGCGTCTGTCTCAGCTGCCTCTCCCAGCTTGACCTTTTCTTCTTTTCAAACCCAATTGTTCCTCCCCCAGCCTTTTCTCCCCCCTCCCTTAATCCCTCCTGCCAGCTTGTATTAGGGCAGGGACAGTGACGCAGATGATCTAAAAACGGGACAGGGAGAACCTGGCACCAGCCCGTTTGTGTGTGCTTGTGTGTTTGTGTTGCGCAGATGCCATGGCTTGGGGGGGGGAGGGGAAGGAGGAGAGGACAGTTGTAAATCTGATGGAGGAAAGAGAAGCCAAAAGGGTGGTGATGTTGAAAACCTCCCAGGGCAGAGGGAGGAGAACACAGCTGCTGCTGCTGCACACTGCGTTCCTGCCTCTCTGGGGAGGGTGGCTTTAAAAAAAAAAAAGAAAGAAAAAAAGTTGGCAGACAGCGAGAAACAACAGCTCTTTCATTCATTGCAGGCTGCAAGTGGCAACTTGGGGAGCAGAGAAGTGTGGGGCCCCATAGACAAATCCTTTTTCCACCCTTTTGCTCTTTCGAGTTTCTTACCCAGCCGTTTGCACATTGCTGCAGTTGCAAAGGGGGTAGGCTGGAGAAAAAAAAATCCTTGGGACATTTCAAGGAAGGAAGGAAGGAAAGGAAGGAAGGAAGGAAGGAAGGAAGGAGAAAGGAAAGAAAAGGGAAGAAAAAAGAAAAGGAAGAAAGAAAAAGGAGGAAGAAAGAAGGGAAGGAAGGAAGAAAGGAAGAGAAGAAAAGGAAGGAGGGAGAAAAAGGAAAGAAAGAAAAGAAAGAAAGAAAAAAGGGAAAAGGAAAGGAGGGAATGAAGGGAAGAAAAGAAAGGAAAGAAGGAAGAAAGGAAGGAAGGAAGGGAAGAAAAGGGAGAAAAAGAAAAGAGAAAGAAAGAAAGAAGAGAGAGAGAAAGAAAGAAAGAAGGGAAAAGGAAAGGGGAAGAAGGGAAGAAAAGAAAGAGGAAAGAAGGAAGAAAGAAAGGAAGGAAGGGAAGAAAAGGAAGGGAGAAAAAGAAAAGAGAAAAAAAGAAAGAAGAAAGAAAGAGAAAGAAAGAAAGAAAGAAGGGAAAAGGAAAGGAATGAAGGGAAGAAAAGAAAGAGGAAAGAAGGAAGGAAGGGAGAGAAGGAAAGAAAGAAAGAAAGAGAAAGAAAGAGAAAGAAAGAAAGAAATCAGCCACTCGGAGAACAGCTGGAGAATCCCTTCCCTTCCTGTTCCTCTGAATAAGTTAGTGAGGTTACTGTTGTTATTATTGTGCAAGGCTGGGGGGGAGCGCAGAGACTTGCCAGATGCATGTCTGCTTCCCCAGACTCTTTTGAGTACAGTTTCACAGGTGGAATCTTGCCATTCTGAGTCAAAAGGCCCAATTTGTTCTACAGATTGCAAGAAGCTAAAGGGATTAGGAAGGGAGGTGGGGCAGTGGTGGTGGGGGATTGAGGAGGCAAGGGATGGGAAGAAAGGGGGCATGAGAATTGCTAGCAGAGAAACCATCTGAGGCTGGGGAGGAATTTAACTCGCCCTTCTGTTGTTAGTGTTTGAGATGCTAGGAAACTGTTTTTGTGAAAAAGAAATATTCAGTTCTATACCTTAAGTAGATGGGTTTGAGGTTTTTTTAAATTACCAGTTGAAAAAAAATGACCTTTTCTTCATTGAGTATAAAAATGAATAAAGAAAGAGCCTACTTTTCTTTGCATAGGAAAAACTAATGTTTTATAGAATTGGTTTCCCTAGTTTTCTAAAGTTTGGGGTGTTTATGAGTTTGGAGCTTGGGTTGGCTTCAAAACGTATCTTGTAAATGCCTCCATAAACGTTATCTCCAGCGCCTGTTGTACTTTGCTCACGCTTCATACAGGATCATAGAGCATAATAGCTGATACCACCCCCTCCCCGTGGAATATTACTTCAGATCAGCCCTCCCCGTCCCAGGGAAGATTGAACAGCAGTTGGAGGGGGGGCAAGTTTGAGCAGCGTTATACGCTTGATGTCAAAATCATTGCTCATTTTATTTGTTGAAAGAAGCAAACTTTTGAACGCAACCTACCTGCTCAGAATATTTGCTTCAGTTTGACCTTGTTGTAACTGTACCCTTTCCCTTGTTTTTTTTTCTTTTAAAGATAATTGAGAAGCGTCTTGGACACATCCGAAATCGGGTATTTCGAGAAGTGGAAATGCTGTATCAGTGCCAAGGACACAGGTACTGGGCAGAGGCGAGCCAGTTTTAAGCTTGATTTTTGTATCCTTGCATTCGGTTGTATCCTAATGCTGACTGCAGTAATCGGGTAGTCCTCGACTTACAATCACAATGGAGCCCAAAATTTCTGTGGCTGAGACATTTGTTAAGTGAATTTTGCTCCAGTGAATCGCTGCAGTTGATCAGTTAGTAACCCGGTTGTTAAGTGAATCTGGCTTCCCCATTGACTTTACCATCATAAAATGAGTCAGTTGCCAAACATCTGAATTTTGATCATGTGACCATGAGGCCGTATGTGTAAAAAAAACAGCCATAAGTCCCTTTTTTTCAGTGCCGTTGCAACTTCGAACGGTCATTAAACGGACTGTTGTAAGTCGAGGACTACCTGTAATCAGGTACAAGTAATCCTTGACTTAACGACCACAATGGAGTCCAAAATTTCTCTTGCTAAGCAACACAGTTGTTAAAGTGAGCTGGGTCCCATTTTATGACCTTTTTAAAATCACAGCTGTTAAGCAAATCACTGCGGTTGTTAAGTGAATCCTGCAGTTGTTAAGTGAATCCGGCTTCTCCCATTGTTACTGCTTGTCGGAAGCTGGTTGGGAAGGTTACAAATGGTGCTCATGTTGACCTGAGGAGAATGCAGCTGTCATAAATATCTGCCAGTTATCAGGCACCCAAATTTTGATCACGTGACTACGGGGATGCTGCAAAAACGGTCATAAGTCACTTTTTTCAGTGCCATTGTAACTTTGAATAGTCACTAAACGAATGGTTGTAAGTCGAGGATTATCTGTACTTCCATATCAAGGGGCACTCTAGCCCTGAATATTAACTCTAGGGAAAGGAAAGTATGGACTTCATTCTCTGCATTGTGACTGTTGAGAGGTGTTTTGCCTGCCATGGGAGAAAATAGGAGGTTGATCATCAGGATTGATTTTTGAATGAAAATGTAATGGATTTAATTTCTTTCTCTTAGCCCAGGGGTAGGCAACCTTGGCTCTTTTATGACTCGTGGACTTCAACTCCCAGAATTCCTGAGCCAACATGGCTCAGCATGGAAACCTCTCCCTTTCTCCTCAGCATGGCTGGCTCAGGAATTCTGGGAGTTGAAGTCCACAAGTCATAAAAGAGCCAAGGTTGCCTACCCGTGTCTTAGCCTGTCTCTTCTTATCCCTAATTATGTCCCGCCCTTCCTTATCTTTTCTTTAGAAACATCCTGGAGCTGATTGAGTTTTTTGAAGAAGAGGACCGGTTCTACCTCGTGTTTGAGAAGATGAGAGGAGGTGAGTGAGTCACTGGCCAAAATGAGTCGGATTTTAGGTAGGAGAGGGAGAGCGTCTTATTTTTAAAAACCCATTTTTTCCCAGTTTAAGTAAGGAGGGAAAAACTATAAATTATACATGTTGTACTTGTCCATATATAATTTACATCAGGGGTGTCCAGCCTTGGCAATTTTAAGACCTGTGAACTACGATTCCCAGAATTCCCCAGCCAGTTGAAATCCACAAGTCTTAAAATTGCCAAAGTTGGACACATTTTATCTAAATCTTTAAGCCTCAGATATTGGTCCATGGCTTAATTGGGCCTTTCAATGTATCTTTTTCAGGCTCCATCTTAACCCATATCCATCGTCGACGCCATTTCAATGAGCTAGAGGCCAGCATGGTGGTGCACGACATAGCCAGTGCCCTTAATTTCTTGCACAATAAAGGTGGGTAAAAATGCTGGGGGCAAAAGTATTTTTTGTTTTTCCAAAGCATTGTGCAACTTAAGTCTCTTTGCAGTCCTGTAAGCCAGGAGTTTCCAGCCTTGGTAACTTTAGCACCTGTGGACTTCAAGTCCCAGAATTCCTCAGGCAGTTTTTAAATTTTATTTTATTTTAATGAGCATATCAGCCGAGCTTAATGTTGATATCTCAGATCATCTGTTTTTAAGATCTGTGGGGTTTTTTTTAAGTTTACCCCAATAACAAAAACTACATTAGGTGTTGTCACTAATAAGGTGGAATATAAATATTTTTAAATAACACCTGCTTGGGGGCTCTCACCTAAACCAGGGGTCCTCAACCCATGGGCCACTATTGCATGGAGCCTCCTCAGAACTGGGCTGGCATGCATGTGCAGCTCCACTTGCGTAAGCGCACCCCCAAAGGCTTCTCTTTTGTGTGAGTGGAGCTGCGCGTGTGCGCCGTCTCTCTGTTCTCACGGCCTGGTTCCCCTGTCTTCCCCCAGCCGGGCCGCCAAGCCACCTGCTCCCGATGTTCCAAAAACGGAGTGGTGAGAGCAGAGGCTGAGTGGGACGAGCGGGCCCTGCTCAGCTTCGCTGACTCACTCAGGCTGCCTGCACAGGACACCCGATCTGCTTTTGGAGCGTCGGGCAGCCTGGGTGAGTATGAAGGAGCATGAGACTGCGCCCCCAAAGGCTTCTCTTCTCCATGCCCAAAGCTTTTGCAAACGGATGAAAGGCTTTGGGGAACAATCTTGTGCTTCAGGCCTTCAATCCCTTTGCAAAAGCTTTTGGTGCCTGAGGGAGTGCGAAACTGTGCCCCAAAGTCTTCTCTTGTGTGAGTGGAAGTGCGCACGCGCACGCCGGCCCACTGCTCGTGCAGCCTGGTTCCCCTCTTCCCCCCCCCCCGCGCCGCCAAGCCACAAATGTTGGGGACCATTGACCTAAACTAATAAATGAACCCTTTATGGCTTTTGTCTCTGAATGGCAAATGCTAGAGCCAGGCCACTGGAGAGAACTGTTGGGAGTATTCAGTTCCATGTGAAGAAGAGACAGATGGAAGATTTTTTTTAATTAAGCCTACTCTTTGCTTCCTAAGTAGCTTTCTAAAAGGGATCTGGAATAAAACAAGGGACGGGACCCTTCTGGCTTCTGTAAACAGTAGGTGTTAAGGGTGTTTGTGCTGACCATGGTTTGATGCTTGGTTAGATAGAATTATGGCTGCTTCCAGCATGATCAGATTACATAACTTGGCTCAACTTTTCCGTTGTCTTTTCCACTCCGGCAGCTGTTCGGTCATGTTCTTCCAGTCAAAAGCAGAAAGTATTAACTGCTAATGTTAAGCTTCTTTCTTTCTTTTATTACAGGAATAGCACATAGAGATTTAAAACCAGAAAATATTCTCTGTGAGAGTTCAAATCAGGTAAGCAGTAGTTTTAATTCTTCCTTGATTACTTCCCAGTGTCTGAGGGGGTCACGTGTGCTGCAAGATAGGGAGATTGAAGGAACTTGCTGATGCAGGATACTCTGATAAGTGGGCTAATAAAGTACAAATACGGACTGTTTAGATTGTGCATAACAAACAGGGATTGAATTTATGACAGAATGTTAAATTCCAATTAGCATGGAGTTTCCTTTCAAAAGAGATGACCTTTCCCCCCCTCCCCCATTCTCTCCAACACCAGGTGTCTCCGGTGAAAATCTGTGATTTTGATTTAGGAAGTGGGATCAAGCTGAATGGTGATTGTTCTCCCATCTCCACCCCAGAGCTCCTCACTCCGGTAAGTGGTTCCCCCCCCAAGGAGAAATGTATTTCATAGAATCATGAGGGAGGGAGGGAGGGAGGGAGGGAGGAAGGACTATACAAACATTGATCACCCAATAAAATAGATCAAGTGGATGTTTAAAAAAACCTCAAAACCTTTACCCAGTCTGGTAGTCTGGAGGTCTCATTTAGGGAAAAATTGCTTTTAAATGGAAATGGATTTTACACAGTGTATATTGACTTTATGGGATTGGCTGTTAAAAACTTAGCAGGCTTTGAAATGAGATTTCAGTTGATTCTCAAAAAGCAGGTAATCAGTCAATACGGTAAGTCTAAGCCACGACCAGCACATAGATTTCATTTAGCAATCTCTAAGTAATACCTCATCCCAGTAGGAGAAGGAGGCCATCTTGGGAATTCTGAAGGCATCTGAGCTGTCATGGAAGCAGGATGCTAGATTTATAGATCTTCCACCATCCTTTTATAGGCTTGATGTGGTAATTGATGGTTACATAGGTGGAAGGAATCTCTGGGATTTAGTGTGAATTGTGTATGTGTTATCCTCAATATAGTGCTGTGTAGTTTAGTGTCCTTAATGTAGTGCCTCATAAGAGCTGTGGTGTAGTGATTAGAATGCAGTATTGCAGGCTAATTCTACTGACTGCTAGCAGTTTGATCCTCACCGTCTTCCATCCTTCCGAGGTTGGTAAAATGAGGACCCAGGTTGTTGAGGGCAATATGCCAACTCTGTAAACTGTTTGTGAAGCACTATGGAAGTGGTACATAAGTCTAAGTGCTATTGCTATTGCTAGTGTCTCCAGAAGTCATGCCTCAGAATTTGCAGAGAAATTGAAATATCTGCTTGCAATCCAGCATGCATAGGAAGCCACCAAATATAACCCTGAATAAACTTTTCTAGACCTGTAGCAAAATGGCTTCTCTGGCAAGTTTATAGTTTAGGACTGGATGCCATTGGTTTTCTTTGGGCAGATGTTTTGGGAACCATTTTTAATCGCAGTCCTTGAAAAGTTTTACACTTGTATATGGTAGTGTAACATTCTAGTTTCAAAGGAATCCTGGGATTTGGCTTCAACTACTTTCTTTTCTGGGGTGTCTTGTAATCAGGGTTTTCTGCATGCATTGATTTCTTAACTGTTATCAGAGGAAATGGATTAAGGAAAGTAAAGGTCATGGTTTGAAAACTACATATGCTTTCTACAAACCTGAAGGATGAACCTTGACCTCCTTTGGTGAGAAATGCTGAGAAAAGTAATCAATTGTTATATATAGGTAGTCCTGGACATTTTTCATAGTTACGACCTTTGCAGCATCCCCATGATCACGTGATCAAAATTCATATGCTTGGTATCTGGTTCATATTTATGACAGTTGCAGTGCCCTGGGATCATGTGATCCCCTTTTGCTATCTTCTGACAAGCAAAGTCAACGGGGAAGCCAGATTAACTTAACAACTGCGTTACTAACTTATCAACTGCAGTGATTCACTTAACAAACTGCAGCAAGAAAAGTTGTAAAACAGGGCAAAATTCACGTAACAAATGTCTCACTTAACGACAGAAATGTTGGGCTCAATTGTCATAAGTCAAAGACTACCTGTATTATTTACCCTGCGATAATTACTCCCTTTTTGCATGTACCAACCTATCCTTTTGCACCATCCTTTTGAAGTTCTTGCTTAGAATCTCCTTAATTTGTAGAGGAACATTAGAGACTATTTTGCGTGCAGCTGTCAAATTGCAGCTAGACTTTTCCTGGAAAACTCTAGCTCAGCGGTCCCCAACCTTTTGGGCACCAGGGACCGGTTCCATGGAGAGGTTTTTCCACAGACCGGAGGGGGCGTGGTTTTGTGTGCTGCCTGCATCCCTCAGATGGGGCTTTGCTTGTTTGCGTGGCCCTTTGTTGGCATGCTGTGGACCACTGCCGGTCCACGGAGCGGAGGTTGGGGACCTCTTTTCTGGCTAATTAAGCCTGCTTAATTTAAAAATAAATCAATCTTTAAGCTTCATAGGAACCAGCCTTATTACTGATAGCTTTCTATGCAGAGGCACTGTAGTGAAATACTTTGCATCTTTCCTCTCCCATGACTTAGGTAGCCAAAATTTATATCCAGCCACACGCAAGGAACTGCATGATGAAGTAGAGAAAAGAAATCTCACAGATTGAAGCAAGTAAGAGCAGCAGATCCTGGCTTTCTTGTCCTATAGAAAGCCATTTTGGTGACCCTGCCCCCTGAAAGCTCTTCAGACAGTCTATAGAATTTTAGTGATGCAATTTCTAAATATTGTTAATATGATTTTCTGCTTGAGAATGCATGCAAACGTTGTGCATTTCACCTAGTTTTTAGTTGTAAATTAGAGTTGGCATTTTTTTAAAGTGCCACTTTTGTAAATTTTCCACGCCTAGTGTGATCTGCACTTGCTCTTCTCAAATTTGTGAAGATATTTGTCCATCTGATAAATCTCTATTTTAAGGGAAAGGATCTTTTAATATAGGCCCTTCAAGGAGCATCCTGATGGACTTTGGGTAACCCCAAATATTGAGGAAGACAAATAGTTGGAAGAGTAACTTTATTAATCCTTAGGAAAATTGCCCTATTAATCCTCTGTCTTGGCCCCATCATTGAGTCTCTATACTTTTTCTACCTTGCAAACTTTGTCCCAATCTCCCTGTTCCCTTCAAGATGTGCAATAATGAGGCAGGTTCTGCTGAATGAAAGTAACTGATTCTAAGGGCCTTCAGTAGATTGCTTCCCAAAATACACAGGTTGCAGTACCTTGGTAATCTTCTCAGGGTTTGGAAACTAAGTAGGATCCAGCTTGGTTATTATTTGGAGGGGAAACCTTCAGAATGTAAAATATTCTGCTACCATGGTGGATTGAGTTGCGGTGCTGTGCCCTAGTTTCACTTGACTGATTTTGTTTCTGGAAGTTTGTGTAGAAATGCTTTTAAACACACACACACACACACACATACACACACCAGCCTTTCTGAACATGCCTGGTTGGTTTTATCCATGACTTCTCTCAGCACCAAGGCTGATCATTCTCTCTGTTTGTGTGCTGAGGATGTTCTGATGCACCGGCAGGTTTAAATGAGATTCTGCCCTCCATCCATCTCTCTTATCCCGTCCTCCCCCCATAGATGTGGGAGGCAAAGAAGCTTGCTTAAAGTGGGTCAGCAGAGGCTTGCCTATGGGGTGATGGGAGGAGCAAGGAAAAGGTGGAGATGTGGCTACAATTTGGCATCTTTATTGTGTAGCCAGGCTAACCCACCTGTCTTGATGGGCAGGTTTGGCTTGTGTGAGTGGGTATGTTTGTGTTCATGCATCTGGTTGGACACGATCTTGCCTTTCCACATTACTCAGAGGAAGTTGCTTTCTTCCTTTTGTATTATCCTCCTCCCGTATGGCTAAGAGGTACCTAAACAAACAACAACCACTTTCTTAATTTTTACACGTCTTTGATTTTATTCAAGGTGTTTGGGGCGTTTGATTCTTTCTGGGAGTATTCCCCTTGCCCCATAAGCATATTCACAGATGGATGGAAATTGCTGCTGCAACGAGGGCTGTGTTTAATTTGAATTTTCCTCTCTCTCCATTCCCTCCATCCTCCTTGCCGGTCATAATGATCCCAGGAAGACCCATAGAGAGATTTATGAACTCTATGCCCTTCTCATTCAGCGCAAAGCAATAAAAAAGAGGGCCTTCCTGAACCCTTCAGTCTTTTCCCCCCATCTATTTTGTACTCCTCGGAGTTACGGGATATTTTATCTTGTTCCCATAGTAGCAGAGATCTTGAAGAATGAGTGGAGGGGAAAAAACTCTCTGTTAAATTCAGCTGTATTTTTTTCTTTGTAAGACTGGTAATTACAGTTTATTTTGCATTTTCTTCCTCTCTCTTTTTTCTCCAAGAGGCACACAGTACAAGTACTACTTTGATTTACAACCATAATGGAACCTGTTCATTACGGTAGCAAGTTGTGTGAGGGTTGTAAAGCCGGTCATCAGGTGACTGACCCGATTTTTATAATATTTTTGCAGCATTTAAGCAAATCATCCTGGTCCTTAAGCAAACACTGCAGTCGTGAAGCAAAGCCATTGTTCTCTGGAGGATATTTTTGCCAAAACCCAAAAGACTGGTTTGCGGGGGGGGGGGGCAGTAAATTGTGGTCATGTGACCATCGATTGCTTTAAATCAGGGGTAGGCAACCTTGGCTCTTTTATGACCCGTGGACTTCAACTCCCAGAATTCCTGAGCCAGCCATGCTGAGGGGGGAAAGGGAGAGGTTTCCAAGCTGAGCCATGCTGGCTCAGGAATTCTGGGAGTTGAAGTCCACGAGTCATAAAAGAGCCAAGGTTGCCTAACCCTGCCTTAAATAGTAACTCAGGCCAGTTGTCAAGCACTTCAGATATGGTCAAGTGACTGTGGACACACACACACACACACACACACACACACACACACACACACAGGTTATCAGAACTTCGGAACCAGATCATAAATACCTTTTGAGAGGCGGGGCATCATAACTTTGAATGGTCGTTAAGGGAATGGTCAGAAGTTGAGGACTACCTGTACACATTCTGCACGTATTGGGAGGTTTCGCAAAAGCCTCTTATTGCAGCTGAGCAAAAAGACTTTTTCTGAAACTCTGGAAGGACCCAGTCAGTGTAAATGAGCAAACATCGTTGCTTATCTCCGGTAATTGGGCACGCCAAAGATGATCCAAACCCCCTTTCTTAAGTCTGCTGCATGAGCCAGACTGTTGCCCTTGGCTACCATGCGGTATCTTCATTTGGCTAATAAGGAATCATACGTTAATTCTATTTCAATAAATTGCATGAACCCAGCCAGTTGGTGTTTTCTGACCGGAGCTAGGACTAGAACGTTTTTTTAATTTGTTTCAGGCTCGTGTTGGGTTCTGGTTTTCGTTTGAGATGCAGGGTGCTTTTGCTAACCCTCTGAAGAGCCTGCTGGGTTAAGGGATACGTAGTGTTCTCTCTGGTGGCCCCCGCAGGCAACTGCTTAGCTGGGAAGTCGAACACAATGCAAGGCCACAGCTCAGCCCCAGAGTTGCTGGCCTGGCTCCCACAGGGCGTGCTGGTCGAGCAAGTTCTAGACTCCTGCCCTGCCCTGCCCTGTCCTGGTTTGATGCAATCGTGGGGCTTTTTTTTTCTGCTTTTGAAAAGGGAGGGATGGAATTTGGCAGCTGATGCAACCTTGGTGCAAGCAAGGGACGTGTGACTCCTTGCACCTGCTGGTTCAATCCAGCTGCATTCAGGGACAGGGGGGAGGTGGCCATGGGTGAACTCGGTGCCTTGTGCGTTTGTGTATGTGTGTGTGTGTGTGTGTGTGAGAGAGAGATATAGAATGAATGCCAGCTCCGTGGGCAGCTGCTATTATCTCCAGCGTTGATTTTTTTTAATCTCACAGAGAGGAGGCGGATTATGACTTGCATAATGGGAAGGAAACAGAGAGGGAAATGTTCATCGCTTCGCTTGTTGGACTCTTTGCTGTGGAATGTGTGAAAGGATCCCTTTGAGCATTTTCTTTCCTTGTTCAAGAATGGCTGTCTGTCCCCAGTGTTTCTCAGGTTAAGGATCTGCCACAGGCATATGCCGGGAATTCCTTGCCCAAATGCCTGTCGGTTGCAAATTCTGGAATTTCAACCCCCTCATGGACAAAAATTAATAGGAAACCGCTCCTAAGTATTCCTGCTCCCCACCACGTGCTTTACCTTGCTCTCATTTTTCATTAGAGGATAGATCTAAATCAGAGGTCCCCACAGCCTTTTGGGCACCAGGGACCAGTTCTGTGGAGAAAGGTTTTTCTGCGGACCGGAGAGTGTGTGGTTTTGTGTGCTGCCTGCATCTCGTGGATGGGGTTTTGCTTGTTTGTGCGGACCGGTTGCTGACATGCCACAGACTGGTGCCGGTCCACAGACCAGGGCTCCGCAGCGCCCGGTCTGTGGACCGGCACCAGTCTGTGGCATGCCAGCAACCGGTCCGCACAAACAAGCAAAGCAGGCAGCATGCAAAACCACGTCCCCTCCAGTCCGCGGGGGGAAAAACTGTCTCCATGGAACCGGTCCCTGCTGCCCAAAAGGTTGGGGGCCGCTGCTCTATAAACCAATGGTTTTACCTCAAGGCCTACCTGTACTGATTCTCTATCCAGGGGTAGGCAACCTTGGCTCTTTTATGACTCGTGGATTTCAACTCCCAGAATTCCTGAGCCAGCCATGCTGAGAGGAAAGGGAGAGGTTTCCAAGCTGAGCCATGCTGGCTCAGGAATTCTGGGAGCTGAAGTCCACGAGTCATAAAAGAGCCAAGGTTGCCTACCCCTGGTCTATCCCAACCCCTCTCCCCCCTTTTTAATGGAAAGCTAACTTCTTATGTGTGATGCACGGAACTCTCTGTGACGAGTCCTTTGGTCTATTGACTGTTTAAGAATACATTGATTTAAACAATGGTTCATATAGTGACCGTTCAAAGTTACAAGGGCACTGAAAAGAGTGATTTGTGACCGACTTTCACACTTACGGCCAGCCATTGCAGCATTTCCCCCGGTCACATGATCAAAATTCAACCGCTTGGCAATTGACTCACACTTAACGACGGTTGCAATGTCCCAGCGTCGTGCGATCACCTTGTCCAACCTTCTGTCAAACGAAGTCCATGGGGAAGCCAGATTCACTTAACAACCGTGTTGCTAACTTAACAACTGGAGTGGTTCGCTTAACAACGGTGGCAAGAAAGGTTGTCAAAATGAGGCAAAACTCAATAAACGTCTCACTTAGCAACAAAAATGCTGGGCTCAGTTGTGGTTGCAAGCCGAGGACTTCTCATACTATTCATCATCGTCGTCATCATCATCTTGGCAAGAGGGAGTGCAAATTTGGGGGCTCAAATTAGCCTTTGAACTGTGTGGTAAAAGCCACGTTCTCCCAAGAGGATTGGTAGGGCGAGGATTAAAAACTAAACTTTGATTACATTTCTTTTAGACTTCAAATTACAGCAAAGATGATTACTCTCCAATTACATATTTAACCATTTCCCCAATGCGCCGTCTTCCAAGCTAGAATTTGTTGGCAACCTCTGGAGTCCTCTGGGAGGTGATGCAATGGCTTTGGGGATCACATGTGCTCTTGGATCTTTCCTCTGCGGCATAGATCAAGGTTGAGAGCTCCACCAATCACAACACTTTGAAGACTAAACAAAGACTCATAGAAATTGGGGTGGTGCGTGTAGCATCGGTATAGGGAGCAGCTGAAAGACACATATTTTTTTCTTTCCATCCTCTCCCAAAGCCTCATTTCAACAAGCTTGGTTAAAAAAAATTGTTTAAGGTGTTAGAAAGCCAGAGCAACTAATAATGAATTTGGGCATCCTGTTTCCTTTTTCTAGGATCAGAGATGAGCCAAGCACCCCATTTTTTGCATAACCATTGAATGTTAGTTAGGTTCTGGGAAAATAGCACCCAATCACATTTGGAACATTACAAATGTTGTAACGTTCCTACTCTTGTTTTAGGAGATGATAGAACAAAATTGCCCAGACAGCACCGCGAAACACATTACAAATAGTCCTCGACTTAGCGACCAGAATTGAGCCCAATATTTCTGTTGCTGAGTGAAACATTCGTTAAGTGAATTTTGCTCCATTTTATGATCTTTCTTGCCATAGTTGTTAAGTGAATTACTGCAGTTATTGTTAGTAACATGGTTGTTAAGTGAATCTGGCTTCCCCATTGACTTTGCTTGTCAGAAGGTCTCCAAAAGTGAGCACGTGACGCTGGAACAACTGTCATAAATACATGCCAAGCATCTGAATTCTGATCACATGACTATGGGGTTGCTGCAATGGTTGTAAATATGACAAACGATCATAAGTCACTTTTCCCAGTGTTGTTATAACTTTGAACGGTCACTAAATGAATTGCTGTAAATTGAGGACTACCTGTAGAGAACAAGTATTATCTATGTGCGCCTCTAGTATGAAAGCCCAATGGATCTGTGTCTTGCTCTCTGTACAGTATGCTACTATTTGTAGATTAGAATAAGGTAAATGTATAGATTACTATTAATATTTTTGGAAAATGCTGGCTTGGGACAAGGAAGAATCTTGGTGATCATTCGAGAATTAGCAGTTGGACTTGCCAACTTAAAAAAAAACCTATGAAAAACCTACGTTTGATTTCGTATTCAATTCTCTGCATTGAAAATGGACTGCATGATTTGAGTCATACCACACTGATTACATTAAAATAAGATTGGATAATTTGTAATTTACTACTTTAGGGATCTCAGCAATTAATGTTGCATAGTAAGTGAACCATACTGTGTTTATGTAAAATAGCAATTTTAATGGGTTAACCTGTGTCTCAGGATAAACATGCCATGTGAATCCAGCTAGTACGTTTCTGTGGTTCAGGAGACTTTGGGGGAAAGAATGCTTGCAGGAAATTTGAATTTGGTACTCTGATCTTTCCGGGCTTCCATGCTGGGGGCTCAGATTTTTCCTAAGATTGTGAGAAGTGTAGGTGGGTGGGGCTGTGTTACAGGAAAGAAGACATGGCCAACTTGGCTGAAACTGTAGGCTATAGTCCTTGGAGATAAGTATATGTGGGTTCTTAATCCACTTCCCTCAACCTCTTCACCAGGGGTCTCCAAACGTGGCAACTTTAAGACTTGTGGACTTCAACTTCCAGAATTCCTCAGCCAGTTGAAGTCCACAAGTCTTAAAATTGCCAGGTTTGAAGACCCCTGCTCTTGGCCATTCTTGCTTTGAGGTTTGGGGCAGTCTTGGGACGTCAGAGCTCAGATTTGCTGCTTCCATTTTTCTTCCAGGAACTCGTTGGAAACAAATGTCCTTAGGTGGCAAACTGTATTTATGTTGGGTGAGGTTATGGTTATGTGTGGCTAGTAGGTTTTCATTTTTTCGCCAGCTAAAACAGAAGGTATCTAATCTAGAGAACGCGAAGGGTATAATTTCCTTGCTGAGTCCATCTGGCCTCATATCTGGTTTCTGTTTCTGGTCAGGCTTGTATTTTTCCCCTGCAGTTTGTGGCATTTGTGGCTTGCAGGAATCTTCTGTTCTTGCTTGTTTTGAGCATTTGACAGCTGAAATAGACTGCATCTAGGCATGGAGGTTCTGGTGTCATTGTAGAGGACGTAAGAACAGGCCACTAACCAGCTTCCTGTTTCCAGTGGGGTCAGAAGGCAATAGCATCCCATGTTGCTAACTTCCACAGAATCTGAAGTTTAGAAATAATACTGAAACCTGGTTTCATTGAGCAATCATTGACTAGACCATTTTTGGCAGATATCCCTATGGCTGCCTTATCATTCCTGATTCTATTGCCAGTAAGTTTCACTGAGAATCGTTACAGATTAAGCGAGGGAGAAAAAGATAAGTCTCTATAGGTTTGCAAAAGAGTAACCAGAGATGAATCCTGGCAGAAATCAGCACCTTATCTTTCTTGATTATGCTTTCCTATAGTTAACTGGAGACAAAACCTGTGCATTTAAAGCACTCACATCTGCACAAACAACCGCATCTGAATCAGAGTCTAAACTGTTGGCTGTTAACGAATTTTGTTTTCTTTCCCCAGTGTGGTTCAGCAGAATATATGGCCCCAGAAGTGGTGGAGGCCTTCAATGAAGAAGCATCCATCTACGACAAGCGCTGTGATTTATGGAGCTTGGGAGTCATTCTGTACATCATGCTGAGTGGTTACCCCCCTTTTGTGGGTCACTGTGGAACGGACTGCGGCTGGGACCGTGGTGAAGCGTGCCCTGCTTGCCAGGTGATCATACCCAGATGGCACTTCCTGTTTGCCAGCAGTGCAAAGTTCCATTGGCTTCTCCCTCTTTTTAGAAATGTCATAATTGGTTCCTGTACGTGTTTCTTAACTATTTTTAGATCTGCTGGCTTCTTTTCGTAACGTAACTTTCTCTTCTCGCAGAATATGCTGTTTGAAAGCATCCAGGAGGGGAAGTATGAATTTCCAGACAAGGACTGGGCTCACATCTCTTTTGAAGCTAAAGACCTCATTTCAAAGCTTCTTGTAAGAGATGCCAAAAAGCGTCTGAGTGCGGCCGAGGTCCTCAAGCATCCTTGGGTACAAGGGGTGAGCATCCTTGAGTGAGAAAAGATGGACATGAGATCATTTCTTTTGCCTTTCTATTTATTTATCTCCATCTCTCTCTCTCTCTCTCTCTCTCTCTCTCTCTCTCTCTCTCTCTCTCTCTCTCTCTCTCTCCCCCCCCCCTCTCTCTCTGCCCTCCATCATCTCTCTGTTTCTATCTCTACCTATTTCCATCCTCTATCTATCTAACCATCCATCATCTACCTATTTCTATATCTATCTGTCTGTCTGTCTGTCTGTCTGTCTGTCTGTCTGTCTGTCATCTATCTATCATCTACCTATTTCTATTTATTTCCATTTCTCTATCTACCTATTTCTATCTATATATCTTTTTCTATTTCTTTCTATCTATCTGTTTATATCATCTATGTCTGTCTGTCTGTCTGCTTTAGAAATCACCCATCTCCCTCACAGAAGCACTTCAGGCAGTGTACAGATAAAATATTTAAAAAATAAAAACTAAATACAAACATTTAAAATGAAGGCAAGGATAGTTAAAATTCAAAAGTTAATGGGGGGGGGGTGTAGAGCTTTCAGGGGCTAACTGGTCCCTCAGCTGCATGCTTCCAAGGGAGAATATACAGTGTTAATGTAAATTAGACTCTGAAGTTTTTTAAAAAAAAATAAGGCATGGCATTTATTGTAGCCAAACAACGTGTGGATATATCCATGAAATCTATAGTTATCAGGCTTGATTGAAATGCAGCCTAGCCTTTCAGCAAGGTTTTTCAACCTTGGCAAATTTGAGGTGTGTGGATTTCAATTCCCAGAATTCCCTAGCCAGCCATGAGTTGAAGTCCACATATCTTAAAAGTTGCCAAGGTGGAGAAACAATTTCTTACAGATTTGGAAGCCCCAGACATCTCTTTTCTATAAAGTGAGTTTTCTGTCCATGTTCAGACTGCACCTCCAGTAGTAAACAGACACCTACGATATAGATAATTTGAATAGGATTGATGTATGTATCTCCATTGTATTTATTTAAATGGAACTTTAATTTTGTCATGGAAAAATGCAGAGAAGGTGTAGCTTAAAAGGGCATTGGGGTCTGCAAAGAGTTGTAAGCAGTCTTAGATGACTATTATGATGACAACATTTCTTCTTTTTTTGCTTCTAGTGTGCTCCTGATAACACGCTCCCCACTCCAATCATCCTACAAAGGTGAGTGAAGCATTACAGAAATGCTTTTAATAAATAAGAATATTGAGGTATACCTCAAATCTTTCTTAATTTCTCCTGTAGAGAATTATAGCCACTTAATGAGGTTTCTTATCGGCTGGAAATTGGTTTTTATTCAGAAACTAAATATATGGAAAGCAATAGCTTTCTAATCTTTACTGCATTATGAGTCTTTTGGTTCACAAACCAGTATAACATGTATATAATTACCATTATTTCAATAGTAATTTTAAGGTGTGTAGAACTTCAGCTTAATAACAGGTAATAGGGCGTACCAATGAAAAATGGGAAAGGCACGGCCAGAAAACACGGGCAATTCTGCCGCTATCACAGCCTTCCTTCAGTGAATTATTTTCCCTGAAAATAAGACCTGGACTTACATTTTTTTTTGCCTCCAAAAGAGGCAATAGGTCTTATTTTCGGGGAACGTCTTCAGTGGTGGCACCGACAGCCCTGTCTAGCAGGAGCCCGTGTGGGCACCGCCGGCCTACTTCTCTGGCTGCTCGCGCATGTCACACCACACCCGGCCTCCGTTTCACCAGTGGAGACTTTCAGGAAAGGCCTCTATAGCCGAGAACAAGGCCTGGGTTGATGCACGTGTTCACCCGCCCCCCCCCCCAGCCTCCGTTTCACCGGCAGAGGCCTTCAGGAAAGGCTTCTGCAGCCGAAAATTGGTTGACATGTGTGTCGCCCCCCCGGCCTCCGTTCTCGGCTACAGAGACCTTTCCTGAAAATAGACCATTCCTGAAGGCCTCTGCCTTGAGCGGCTTCGAGTGGCTGCACGTGAGCGGCTTCGAGTGGCTGCAGACGTGATGGCCATGTGGGCTCCTGGACAGGACTGTTGGTGCCGCCACCGCGACGCAAGGCGGGTGTCGGCATGGGAGGCCTGGCTGTGGGGGCCCTGAGGTAAGTGGGTATGGGGCGCCGTGGGGCAGCTCCACCCCCTCCCCCACCTGCCTCACCTCACCTTGCAGTGGCATCGCGAACAACCAGATGGAATGGGCGGTCAGTCAGCTGGGCAGACTCTTAACTAGGGCTTATTTGGTGGGGGGGTAGGGCTTATATTAGGCACACGCGCAAAAATCAAGCTAGGCCAGGGTTTCTTTTTGGGATAGGGCTTATATTCGGGAAAACACAGTATTTAGAAAACTGATATGATTCCCCACTTCAAGGTGGGGAATAACTCTGGGTGACTAACAATACAAAACCATTCTGAAACAAAATTTAGAACAGTGGTTCTCAACCTGTGGGTCGGGCTCGATCGACCATTTCACGGGGGTCGCCAAGCAAGGCTGTCCGCCATTTTTTTCCCTTTTCCGGCGGGTGCCTTACCTCCCTTGGGCTGGGCCAGCTGGTGGTCAACCTGCTCCGTCTCTGCCGCTTGCCAGCTACGCCTCGACCGGTGCAGGGGGCGGAACCACGCATGCGCGGCACTCCCGGGCAGGGAAAGTCCTCGACTTACGACCGGTTGGGTAGTCCTCGACTTACGACCGGTTTAGTCCTTGACTTACGACCAGTTTAGTCCTCGACTTACGACCAGTTGGGGTCGCGGCATTAAAAAGGTTGAGAACCACTGATTTAGAATATATTTAATAGCAAAGGGAATAAATACAAGAACTGAACATCTCTCAAGCCGCTCACAATTGCAAACATACATGCTTTACTCACCCAGCCCTAACGCCTAAGCCAGGGGTAGGCAACCTTGGCTCTTTTATGACTCGTGGACTTCAACTCCCAGAATTCCTGAGCCAGCCTTGCTGAGGGGAAAGGGAGAGGTTTCCAAGCTGAGCCATGCTGGCTCAGGAATTCTGGGAATTGAAGTCCACGAGTCTTAAAAGAGCCAAGGTTGCCTACCCCTGGCCTAAGCGATGAGTCAAGTTTTCATGGCCTTTTGGAAATCAAGTGCTGTGCAGACCCCAGGCCAGGCAAGATCACAGCTGACCACCAGAAACTTCTATAGTTAAGCAAAGAAGTAATGTAGGCCCAAATTGGGATTCCAGTCCCTCCCACAGAGCTCCGGGGAGCAAACCTGCAAAACAAGTTCCAGGTAGTCCTCGACTTACGGCTACAATTGAGCCCAATGTTTCTGCTGCTAAGTGAGACAGTTGTTAAGTGAGTTTTGCCCCATTTTACGACTTTTCTAGCCACAGTTGTTAAGTGAATCACTGCAGTTATTAAGTTAGTCACACGGTTGTTAAGTGAGTCTGGCTTCCCCATTGACTGTGCTTGTCAGAAGGTCGCAGAAGATGGTCACAAGACCTCAGGACCCAACAACGGTCATAAATATGAGTCCGTTGCCAAGTGTCTGGATTTTGATCATGTGACCAGGGGGACTGCTGCGAAAGTTGTACGTTTGAAAAACGGTCGTAAGTCACTTTTCTTCAGTGCCGTTGTAACTTCGAACAGTCACTCAATGAACTGTTGTTAAATCGAGGACTACCTGTAATGCCGTGTCCGAAATTATTCTTCTGCACCCACATTTTAACGCAGTGTTTCTCAACCTTGACAATTTTAAGGCATGTGGACTTCAACTCCCAGAATTCCACAGCCAGCAATGCTGGCTGTGGAATTCTGGGAGTTGAAGTCCACATGCCTTAAAATTGTCAAGGTTGAGAAACACTGTATTTAACAGTTAGTTGTGGGATCTACAAAATCGAGGTCCAGACGTTCTTAACTTGCTTTCTTGTCATTGCCCTTGGTAGGAACAGCAGTGCCAAAGAGTTGACATCGTTTGCCGCCGAAGCCATTGCTGTCAACCGTCAGTTAATGCAGCACGAGGAGGAAGCTGCGGAGGAGACCCACCCCATTATCATCAAAGCTACCTCATGCTCTATGCACCTCTCTCCTCCTTCCGAATCCAAGCTGGCCAAACGGAGACAGAAGACCAGCATGGCTAAAGCGAACGCCACCCAGCATCTGGTGACCCCCTTGGTCTTGGTTGGGGATCACATGTGACTGCCTTTCCTTATATACGTCCATTCTTCCATTCCTTCCCTCACCCCCCACCTCTTCCGTGCTTTTCGGACAAAAAGGTCTGCTTGAATAGCTTAACAAAAGATCAAGATCCAAATTGGCTGGTTTCCAAGAATTCTTTTCCGTCTTTGATCTTGTTCGACACAGGCTGTTTTGTTTCTTGTTCCTTTTTGTTTCTCCCTCTTTCTCTTTCTTTCTCTCTCTTTCTCTCTCTTTTTTTTAAAAGCTATTTAAATTCTATTCCTCCCTTCCCTTGTTTCCCCTCTTCGCGGTGCATTTTGATAACACGCATAATTTTTCCTTAAAAAGTAAAAAAAAAAAAAAAAGTCCCTTTCTCCCCACTGAAGGATAGCTTATCTGGGGGGAGGGGGGCTTCTGTTCTCTTTTTTTCCCTTCCCTTTCTCTCAGCTTCTTGTACTGTGAAAAGAGGGGAGGGACAAACCCTTTCCCTTGCCTGCCCCACCTTCCAAGCCTGAACTTTTAAACGTAGCATTTTTATGTTTTGGAGAGTGTTTGCTTTTTTTTTTTTTTTTACGTTTATTTTAATTTTGTTCTTGCTATTGGTTTCTTTTTTTTAAACAAACAAGCATAACTACTCGGATTCTGTATGGGTTGAGGGTCTTTTTTCCCCAAAAGCACTGGAGTGACTTAAGGCGCGGGGAGGAGGGAAACAATTACAGTCCGTGGATTGTATGAATGTTCATTTATGGGGAAAATGTAGGGAAAATTGCAGAGTCTTCCCTAAAACTGTATAGATTCTATAAGCTGAAAGTAGTGGTATCTGGGATATAAACAGAAGGGGGGATTTGGGAAGAGGAAACCCATACATATAGGGCAGAATTCCTTCTCCCCACCCCCTGGCACCGTTCACAGCACTTATTTTGTATTTTGTTCTTTTTTTTTTCTCAAGGGGCCAAGCTGCGGATAACACAAGAACCCTATTTTGTTTCAATCCAGATATGTCCTGTTAACATGGGAGGGGTCCAATTTTTTTTTAAGAGTAAAAAGCTTGTTTTAGGATCTACTATAGTGGAATCTAATCGCTTAATGGGTTTTTTTTTCCCTGTTTGATAAGGAGAGATAAAAGGTTAAAAAAAGTTCTACCGTAGTAAAAAGGAAAGATTTTACTACCTTCCATATAGTAACCCAGTGTTTCTCAACCTTGGCAGTTTGAAGACTGGACTTCAACTCCCAGAATTCCCCTGGTCAGCATGGCTGGCCAGGGGAATGCTGGGAGTTGAAGTCCACATGTCTTCAAGCTGCCAAGGTTGAGAAACACTGGAGTAAGCTATTGGGGGAAAAAGTGAGGCTTAATCTGACCGGAAGATAGTCAACATTAATTAAACCATCCTCTGCGGGGCTGTAAAAATCTTTGCAAAAATATTCATAGAGATGTATAATTGCTTCAGAGTTTGCAACTGTAGGATGCCCTCTCGTATAGGAAATTCTTATTGTGGCAGAACAGTTTATGGCAATCCTTTACAACTTTTGGTGAGTGTTTTTTAATTTTTTTTTTTTTAAAAAAAAACCAAGACAATGCGTTGTTTGAGCTCCCCATCTCAAAGGCAGACTGTGGCTCGAGGGATTTATTTTGAAATATTTCCCAGTCTTGGGAGCCTCTGGTTCCTCTTATTCTGAACCAGTATAGATAAAATTCCTCAGGGATGGTTGCTTCCTACGGGGACTAATTAATTTGGGGAACCTCTAGCCTCCCCTTCCCCCAATCTCTACAGAACTACAGTTCTTACAATTGTGGGTTTTGTGTAAGAAAACAACAATGAATCTAGTTTAAAGCTAGGCCTGCTGGAAGCCTGTGAATCTGGGGGAGCAGGGGCAGAACTGTAAATCAAACTCAGGATGGTGCATTCAGATGTGCTAAAATGGTCAAAAGCCTGCTTTTTGGAATAGGGGAAGGAAGACAAACACTTGTATGCATGTGGTGTCTCTCATTACAGAGAAGGAACTAGAAGATTGAGTGATTTTTTTTAAAAAAAAAATCTGTTTCAACGCGTGAAATTCAAGGAGTTAGCAAGTAGCATATTGGGGTGAAATTCTGGTAGAAGATTCTCCAAGAGGGATGTGAAAATAGTATTTGGTGAGTGGTCCCCTTTGGCGTCCACCTCTTCTCGTCACCCTTTCTGATCAGAATATAAGTATCAACGTAAGGATTGTCAGACAATTGCGGAACAGTTTGTTCTGTCGCTGTCTGACCCTTCTCCAATTCCTCTGGTGTTTGAGCATCTAAGCCTGGGAGACATTATGGGAATGGCCTGCATTATGGGGCCTCGAGGCTCAGGAGCATTCTGGGAAATTAAATGGCAGCTCCAATTTCATGATGGGTGTTGCTCAGCTGCTGCCTGTTGATGCTGAGTCTAGAGGAGACCAACTTGAGAGCATTTTTGTGGGGTCTCCTATCCTGATACTAACCTTGATATGAAACTGTCCTCAATGTTTGGTCAGCCCGTGGTTGGGTGTCAATATCCTGTTCACCATGGATCAATCATGGTGGATTAGAGGTGCTTCTGAGGACATTCTTTTATGTTAATAGGCCAAGAGCTGAAAGGGAGGGAAAGGCATACCATGGCAACTTTAAGACCTATGGACTTCAACTCCCAGGATTCCACAGACAGCATGTCTGGCTGAGGAATTCTGGGAGTTGAAGTCCACAAGTCTTACAGTTGCGCAGACTTGGACACCCCTGACGTAAAGGCTTGAATATAATGAAACATGATGGTGCTTTCCAGGCACACCTGGAAATTTAGACTATTGGCTATTTGTGTCCACTGGGGGGGGGGACTCAGCCCCTCTCCCCACTCTGAGACATACACCCACCGCTCTGTGATACACACTCTTGAGAGCAAGTCCTGCTCTCAGAATTTCTTGAAAAGACTGCGCACACATGCAGGCAGTGAAAACGTTTGTACATAAATCAGTATTTGCATCATGATATGGATTGGAAAATATTCTTGAATGTGTGTGTGTGGTGCCTTGATAACGGTGGCAGTTGTGACTAGGCTGTGGGTGGGCAGATAACTTTTGCCACGCTCAAATCTAGTAGTATTTCTGTCTACCTTCCTTTATGCATAAGCTACAGGGCAAGCAGCGCTATATGCATTCTGACTTGGGAGCAACACCTACTGAATTCTGTTGGGTTTGTTTCCAACAAAGTATGTGTAGGACCGGTTGATGGCTGAAGGGCTGCCTTTCTAAGTGTGTAAAGGTATGGATGGGAAAGCTTACTGAATCTGTTGGATTTCCTTCAGAGGACCCAAGGGGAGGATCAGCCAGTTAGTTTCAGTTTGAAGGTGAAAGTTGTTGTTGAAATCTAGCTAGGGAGGTGGTTTTGAAACTTAGCGTGTTTTGCTGTGCAAGGCAAGGGAGAGTTTGCTTATTGTTTTAAGATCAGTTTGACCTATCTGATCTCCTTTCTAAGTCTTGGGATTTTTTTTTCTTTTAATCCAGTGATAACAAGATAGATCCTCTGCAGGACTTTGGCAGAATTGGTTGAACAGCCATGTGTATAAACTCAATCTTGAGTGATTGTAGCAAAACATCTGCTGGTGACTTCAGCTGCTATCCAGATGTGCACGTGTGGGCGTATGTGATCTAATAGGAACGATGCTTGTCTCTGAATAAAGACTTTTTTCTAAGTAACAAAACTATGCAAAGAAGTTTGGATTCTTTTTGCTGAGAAAGAGAAGTAATTTTTTTCAGATGCAGGATAATTGATTTTTTTTTTTTTTTATAAATGTGGAGGCTTGTAAAATAATTTGTCACCTCCTTTGTTTTCTACTTTTTGATATTTTTCTCTGCTTTCTTGACAGAGGGTAAAACAGATGGGATCTCCTTTCTAGTATTATGGTTTGCTTGTTGTGACCTTGCGGTCTTTTCCAACAGATGCGCTTTCATTAAGGAATGGGGTAGAAAGATGGTACCGTCTGAAAATAATGAGGTGCAGAATACACTGGTTAGCTGAGCCGGCTACGTTATGGGAGAAGTTATTTTTAAATCAAAGAACTTTTTATCATACAATTCAGAACAAAATTCTACATAGGTATGGATTTTGTCACCAATGATAAACCTTAACCTTGTGGTCAGAAATTACTTGAAGAGTGGTGGGTTCAGGCCCTTTGGCTCAAGAAAGCGGTAGCATATCGCTTCTAAATTGCCTGATACTTAAATCCTTTCAGGATTAGAAGCAAAGGGAGCAGCTTCCAGTGTGGATGTTCTCATTCAGATGGTTTTAAATGGTGTGATGGGATATAGTTTGCTTTGCTCTTGCTTTTTTGTTGTTGTTTATGCTGCGTCTATCCTTCAAAAGAAAGATAGCTTTAAGAACAGTTTATCAAAAGTTAGGAATATATTTATACACGGATTTTTTTTTTCCCCCTCAAGAGCATCCATTCCCTAGAAGTGACATGGTACCTATATTTGGCTGAGCATTTTAGCCTGGTCTGCAACAACTCTAAACCTTTGATCATAGGGCCAGTGTCTATGGTTGGTTCATTTGAAAAAGAATTGTGTAAAATGTCCTCCTCCCTAGCCGTTTGGGATACTACTTTGGGAGAAGGAAAAATTACCTCCTGCTTCCCTCTGTTTGATTCTTAAAGGGCCAAAATGGGACTCCTGTGATGCCTATGGTATGCTGATAGGTTGGGAACGATGGACAGTGACTTTCAAACCAGCATTCTCAGTTGAAACGTGCTGTGCATCAATCTTTTTTAAACTAGGATACTTCTCAGGATTATTATGTCAACACGTGAAGGATTGCTCATATTCCTTTTTTGTCTCTCATTCGTGCCTGATATTTAAGAAACAAAAACATCCTAGATAATTTATGAAGTGTTTGGAATCGTGTGACAAGACGTGCACAAGTTACAAAATAAAATCATGTAGAGCGCCAAATAATAACTTTTGTATCCCCCCCCCCGTGTGTGGATCATCTTAACATACATAGCCCTTCTCTGCAGGGTTGCACATTTTTTAGGACGTGCAAGAGCAGTGGGTCAGAATTGTGACCCACCCGGGAAAGTGTGCTTTTTAATTGGTGAGCTTTTTTTTAAAGCAAATAAACTCTCTTTGGCGGGTGGGCGAAGTGAAACAATCTCATATAAAAGCATTGCTAAGATCATATCTTACTCTGGGATGGTGTATCTGATCTGAATAATCTTGAGTGAAAGGATTCAAGTGTGC